AACTGTATTTAGATGTCTTTTAACTGTAGGAGTGTGACTCAACTTGTTTCTATGGAATTTACTTTTGCTTGTGTTGTCCTTTGGTGTGTCCTGTCCAGCTTTGCAGCAGTTTTGATGGCTAGAGAAACAATGAAATAATGACCTTTCCCAAGACAGAAGGTGAAAGTTGGGTAACCCTGCTGGCAAATGTTTAAACAATGCATGAAGGCAGTTGTGGTTTATGTTACTTTTAGCTCTTGTTTATCCTCAGTAACAAGTAGTAAGGACCTCTCTTTGTAAAATAAGTCTCTCTTCCATTCTGGGAAGCCAGTAGTTGAGGGTTTTGGCACACATTTAGTAGAAGTTCTCTCTATAAACAAGAGAGACCCAAGGAGGTCAAACAGGACCCATCTGATAGAAAACAATGTTTAAGGCAGCATAAAGCAGATTAAAAACATGCTTTTAGGACCTTCCTGCTTTTCATAAAGAATCCCACAAGCACAATTGTAATAAAATTTTTGAGTAGATTATTCTTCACATGTTTTACTGCTGGAGACTTCTTTTAAAAGCACCTGTGAGTTCTCAGTGTTGGATGTGGAATTAAATTGGCTTGGATTAAGTGGCACGTCTTTTTATTCCCATGTAATTTTTAGGTAATGTAGTCCCATCAATAAACTATACCATTCATGAGACATGATTCTCAGCTACTGCTTTGGTAATTTTTTTTTTCTTTTCTGTAATAACAGTTCATATTTGAGAAATTAACTTAAGACACCAGTGTAGCAAAGTTCAGTTTTATATTTTACCTTTCAAGCAATCAAAAAGACATTAAGCCTGATAGTGCAGATCCAACAAAGTACTGAAAGAAGGAAAGCAGTGGCTGTGGCTGTTACAGGGAACAGGCTGCGTCATACCTTTCAAAACCCTGCTGGTTTTGTTTATTGGTTTGATTTCGAAAGTCCCGAATATTTTTTGCAGAAGTTCTATTTGTCCTATGAGCAGATAGAAAAACTCATGCTGGGATAGTGCAAACAGGACTGAGAAATGAAACTTACACAAATTGCACAAATTTCAGTCTCTCCTGTAATAAGTTCATTTTTGCAAACCTTGGGTCTTGCAAAGCCAAGATGAGACTTTAGATAAATTCTTAAATATTTTGGAAGTCTTGTTCATGACCTCACCTAAGTACAGCAAAGGCTGTTCTCATTATAAGATAAATACTAAAGAACAATACTTAAACGCTTTGTGTTCATTGCTGATTAAAAATGAAAGCCCAAAGTGGAAAACTACATGTATTTTTGCATTTATATGTATGTGTACGTGCTGTACTCTGTCCACATGGACATGGCAAACCTGTTTACTCCTTTCCCTTTCCTGGCTGTCTCTTGTGTGGGTGCAGACACATATACCTGTCCTTAGCATGTTTTTTCTTGTCTAAGCCACCCCAGTTCTGCAGTCTCTTCAAGTCACATTTTCTTCACTTCTGATTATGGTTGTTGCTGTGGTTTTGAGGTTCTCCGGTTGGTCTCCATCTTCGCTGTGCTGTGGCTACCCAAACAGAACACAGTCCTTAGCTGAGGCATTTCTGGTGCTGATTAGCACAAAGACTTCATGTGTCTCGCAGAGGGTGCACTATGTCATGCATCCTAGTGCGGTGGTTGCCTTTGCACCACAGCAGGACACTTCTCCTGTCTCCCACCACACTGCCTTGCTCTGGCCCTGGGCTAGGGACCTGGGCAGCGTCAGTCCCCGGTCTGGAGGGCAGGAGATGGTGAATGTTGGAGACTAAATCTCCCTAGCAGTGGTAGGCAAATCCTGGCATGCAGAGTGCAGCCCACCTCAGTGGCGTGGATAGAGAGAAGGTGAAGTTGCCACCCATCCACATTGAGGGATATTTGCAGTGAACGACTGCTGTGAGGTTTGCAGCCACCTCTGTGTGTACGTAAGGAGGACCTTATGAAGATATACCTATTAAGCCAATTATATCTTTGCTAAGGCAAATTACTAAGCTTTGGATTGTTTTTTTTTTTTTCTGAATAAGAAAGAAAAAGGCAGGATGTTTTTGACACATTTATTATATGACTACTGGAAAACTCTGCTGCATCAACTGCCAGGAGGTAGAAAATACCGAGGTGCTCATGTTTAACTGTATTTGAATGCGCAACAGCCCTTACCTCACCTGACGTTGGCTGTATGGCTCAGTGCGAGTTAGTATGGAGATTGCCAGTGCTAAGACCTCGCCTTCAGGTATACTACTGAGCAATTTGGTACAAGGTGGGACAAGAGGAAGTGGCTTTGAAATGGGTGTGTTGAACACAAGTATTTTCATCTCAGCTCTAGCTGAAGTGTCAGCAAAGTGCCTTCCAGCTATTGGAGCCTGTAGGTTGGTGAGCCCTGGGACAGGGACATCCTTCTGTGCTGGTCCCAGGTACTAGTGGCGTGAGGCATCTGCAGAAGTGATTGATCAGAGTCAATCTGCAGGACTAACAGTACGATCTAAGAGTTGAATAGTGAACAGCATTTGTTACGTCTGGGTGATCTGTGTAGCCTGCATTTAAAAAAAATAAGTGAATCACCTGGATTTCCAAGCATATGCTGTCAGACAGCTGCTTCTCCAGTGTGGCAACGAGGCAGACATCTCCCTACCTTCCTGTGCAAACTGCTCACAGCACCACGTGGGCTGTGGTGATGGCAAGCAAGGTCTTTCCAAGTCGAGGTGACCTGCTAGGACAAGTCCGTAGTTACCAGACAGGTTCAAGAGCGAGTCAGGAAGGAAAGTCAAAAAGGCAAAATCAGGATCAGCAGGTTACAAAGCCAGGCGCAGGCTGACTTCCAGTGCAGCTCAGGTGAGGACGCAGGGCAAGGTTGTGAGGTTAGATGCAGCTCCTGAGCCAGCAGGCAGAAGGTGCATGGGAGGGGAGAACAGATGAGGCTTGTCATGGTGCAGTGTCAGAGCTGACCTTCAGTGCAGGCAGCCAAACCCTTGGGAGAGCAGGGGGAGAGGCTGCAGAGCCCATCAGTGCAATCAGGGTCCAGACAGCACGGTCACCCCAAAGCTGACTCTTCTCCAGGCTGAGCAGACCCAGCTCCCTCAGCCTCTCCACGTGTGTCCTGTGCTCCAGCCCTTGACCAATTCGATGACCTCTGCTGAACTCACTCCAGCGTGTCAGTGTCCCTCTTGTATCAGGGAGCCCCAAACTGGATACAGTGCTCCAGGTCTGGTCTCACAAGCACTAAAGAGAGCAAAATGATCACTCCCCTCCCCACTGGCTAGAATTTTATTAATGCAGCTCATGGTCTTGTTAGTCTACGTCTCTGTGAGGGGCCATGGTGTCCACCAGGACACCCAGGTGCCTTTTTGCACAGCTTACTTTATAGACAGTTGCCTCCCAGCCCGTACTGATGCATGGGGTTATTCTGTCCCAGGTGTAGGGCTTTGCCTTTGTCTTAGCTGATCGTAATGAGGTTACCATCAGCCCATTTCTCCAGCTTCTCCAGGATCCGCCGTTTGGTATCATGTGTGAACTTGCTGGGGGCGCTCTCTGTCCCTAGTCTGAATTGCTGCTGAAGACACGAAGCAGTACCAGCTTCAGGATCCATCCCTGGGGGTTGCCGTTACCAACTGGCCGCCAGCTGGGCCTTGTGACGCTGACCATCACGCTCTGAGCCTGGCAGCTTTCTAGCCAATTTTCTGCCCACCTATCCAGCCCATGTCTCACCAGTCTGGCTATGGGGATACTACACCAGGCTGGGGCAAAGATCTTGCCAGGTCAAGGTATACCATATCCTCTCTGCTCCCCTTCTCCATGAAGTCAGTTGTCTCATCGCTGGAGGCAAACAGATTGGCCAGGCGCTATTTACCCTGTTTAAACCCATGCTGGGTGTTTTCAACATGGTCTCTAATTGCTCCTGGGAGGATGTGTATCATAACTCGGTGCACTGTTAATGGCTTTGGATTGCATTTTCCTGTCCATTTAAGATGTTTGCAGACAGTGGTTTTTCTAATTATTTTGACATACAGTTATTCCCAGTCCCAGAAGGTGTGCTCATCATGGAAGAATAAAGGAAGATCTCTCAGCATGCAAGTGAACACTGGTGGGAAAGGCACAGCTTGCACTGCTTGCTGCCAGACCAAACCCAACTCTTCCTTTGGCCCTGGAGAATGAGTGTTGCTCAGTCCTGCAGGCTTCTACCCCTCTCCTTTTGTTGCCTTGCCAACCTCCCACCCCAGAATAGTTCAATTCCAGGTCTAGAAGGAATAGGAGCACCAAAATATGCCAAACTCAAAGACTGATGTTTTCCTAAGTGGCACGCTTCTACAAGCAGCAGAGAGGGAAAAGAAGCACAAACATGTATTTCATCCTGTTCCCTTCTCGGTTTCTCTGTCATCTGCCTAAAATTAACGTTGTACTTACCTAAACTTTGCGAACACACGTGACAATATGAGTACATTGGAGTCCTACTTCGTTTGCTAATAACACTTTTATTGAATTTCTGTTTGCTTATTTCTGTATGACTGAAAACATCCATCTCTATTCTATGAATTTATATGAAAAATTAGCATTCAGGAAAAAATGACTACTCCACAGCATAATGTAAATATCAAGCAAATTTGAAAAATAAATCAGTAAGCTAATATCCAAGGAAGTATTTTGCCTTTTGGCTTCTTAAGAGAATGACAGATTTTGCCAGAAATGTGTTTTAAGATCTGGAAGGCAACAAATTATCAATAGTGAAACAAGACAGTTCTCATAACTGAGAAATATGTAGACAGCAGAAAAAAAAAAATTAAGATTTTGGTAATATTCCCTTTGTAAAATCCAAACCATGCTGCTTGTAAAGAAACTACATGACTGGTGTCTTACTGAATATTGTTTTAAAAATTCAAGGTGTTAGTCTGCAAATTCTTATTCATGTAAATCATTCCTGTACATTTGCATCTCTATGGGTTTGCAGGATCTGTGTCTTCTCTCCCTCAGGGGTGCCACGGTGAGGAAGTTACTCGGTAGAGATTACCGAGTCTAGTATCCATGTTTCTTGTAATACTGGGCTCGTGCAGCCACGTCGTTGGAGTAGTCATTGTGGGTGGTGCCGATGTCCATTCTGTCATAGCTTCGGACATTGTTAGCACCAGCGTTGTAGGCAGAAATCCCACCTGAAACGAAACACCAAAAGAACTCATACAGACCTAAAAAAAATAGGGAAAATTCCAAACGGATGTGTTCTGCTTTCACTGGTTCTTAAAGCTTTCACTTCTTGGGACTTTGCAAGGGGAGTAGGCAGTGTTATTGGATCTTCTCTGACTTAAGTGGGGCTCTGCAAACAGCTTACGTTTTTTCCCGAATCCACCAAAACATCAGAAAGGTACCTGAGGTTTTGTGTTCACAGATACTTGCAGCTTGATGAACTTGTACCACTCACCTGGCCCAGCACAAGCCTTTCATTTACACTGGACTTGTTCAGAATAGAACGAAATAGAATGGGATCGTATCGTATCATATCATATATCGTATCATATATTATATCATATCATATCCAACACCCTTGTAACTTCTCACTCTTCCTTGAAAATTACTGCTCTTAAAAGAGGGTTAAAACCCACTGACATACATTGTGTTATCTTTGTCTCATAGTTGCATATGTGCTACTTCACATGCCTTGTTGGAAAGCAGAGGTATCTGAGGTGGCTGTGAAACGAGCCTGCTGTGGCACCCCAGCGGTCCAAGGGGTTGCGGAGTGCAGCCTGCTTTGAAGTGGGCAGCTTTTCCACGTTGCGCAGCGCAGTTTTGCAATGCCCTGAGAGCAAACACCTTCTCTCCTTTGTCAACAGAGATACGGTGTGAACTGCTGGCCCCATTCGAGTAAACCGCAGAGCTATTTGTTAGCCTGAATGGCTGTAGGAGACTCCTCATAGTCAGATAAGGAAAGCTCAGCTCTTATGTAGGCTAGATTTCAGGTGTATAAATATTTGCTGCACGGTGGTGGAAATTCAGCAAGGCTTCCTTACTAGGGGAAAGCAGAAACTGCACAGAATTGACAAAGCTTGCCTTTTGCTGGTGAAATGAAACATGGGTGAAAAGCTAAGCGACAGCCTGTTAGAAACATGGGTTTTGAGGAACATGGGAACTAATTCAGTGTGTTCTCATCCTAAATATTTTCTTCTCTCCTGGACAAAACCTGTGGCCTGTTACCTTACCTTTCAGCTGTTGATCCTTTGTCCAGCGTGGGAACTTCCTCTGTATTGTCTTTATCATCATGATAAGTATGTTTGTGGCCTGTCTAAGATGAGTTTCGCTGTTCCATTTTCCCATAGGTTGATGTGAGTTTTTGTCAACCTAGATATATAGAAAAAACAAAAAGAAGTCATTTCCCTGCTGTAATGGGTGATATATTTAGGAAGCTTATCTTTATTTATATGCTATTTGTTTATCAGGTTTTAGTGGAGTATCAGCAAATACCTGCATTAAGCCAAATCCATTTCCATTGTCACCCCAGCCATTCTTCAGTACTTTGCCAGCATGAGATTCCCGGGAGATGATGCCAGCAATCAGGGCTGGTTCGATGCACAGTGCTTTGCCAACTTTCTTAATGAGTGTTTTGTATTGATCCATAGCTCTTAGGTCCCGTTCAGCGATCTTTCCTGAAGCCTTAACTCCTGCAATTAAAATTAAAAGTAAAGATATTTGCTTAAACACTTTTAAAACTTTGAATTGTCTCTCGCCTCTCTCCTTCTAATACGGACAGAATTACATCAACGTTTTGTTTGCCTCGCCTCTGGGAGGAGGTAGATGATCGCCACAGGGATATTATGCAGCCTCAGCAGCTCGTGTGTATTCAGCACTTTGGAAATGTGAAAGATCTGGGATTATTGTGCCATGGAGAAAAGGAGCCGCCTGGCAGAAAAGGGATGCTCACCGCAGTAGGTTAAACCCTCTGGCTTTGCAGTTTCGCACGAAGCCCCAGACGTTTTAATTCTGTTGACACTGCCGTAGCAATCCGTGCGGCCCTGGGAGGCACCTGCAGAGGCAACATGGAAAGGCTCAAGCAGTAACAAAACCTTTTGTGACTGCAAGAAAAACCCAAGGGAAAGCTGCACCCGGGAGAGGATGGGCTGTGGGACGTGGCGCCTCTGTTGCTCCTTGTGATGGAGAGGAGGCGAGGTCCTGCCCTGCGCCCACCCGTCCCTCAGAGGCCACCGCTCCGTCTGCAAGACTCACAAGGGGACGCAAGCCCTCTTTCCTCCGATAAGAGTTTAATGGCAACTGAGATTTTGAGGAGGGGGGGCTGAGAAGGTGCATCAATGTCTCCTGCTTCCCGGCCCCGGGGACCGTGTCCCCAGCTGCTTGGGGCAAGGCAGTGAGGAACAACAGACTTACCCAGGAGGACAGCGAGGCCCAGCAGCACGAGCATCGAGTACATGAGGTGGTTCTTCCCGAGCACTCAGAACAGCCTGAAAATCAGTCAGTTAGCATTGGCACACGTGAAGACGCGAATGTATTTCACTACTTGCCAAATAAACACAAAGAAACTTTCTGAGCTGATGGGGTATTTCTCTTGGTTGGGCAGGCAAAGCAATACACAAATGGAGTTGTGTCTTTTTTTATAAGAGACCACAATGGCAGCTCTCCTGCTCCGGCACAAACCAGGCTGCAGCTGTTCACAAGAAACTTGTGACCCCTCACTTGTGCTGGTGTTTCAAACCCACGTCTTCTACGACATCTTGGTAACTTCCTCCAAATCTCAAACCTCAATGTTTAGTTCAGAAAAAATAAAATCAGTAAGGTTATGTGTCCTGTGCTGCTGTACTCCCACCATGAACACCCCTATTCCCTGCCCATATTCTGTATAAAAACTGCCTTTGCCACACCTGGAAAGCTTTGCCTGAGTCTCCTGAGACTTTCTTTATACTTAGAAACTGGCACTTTCAAGATGCAAGCTGTCTAAATCATTGTGGCTAGGGAGATAGGCTCACATGTGGTTGAGAGCCACCCACATTTAGGTGACCTAAATCCATAACTACAGGACAAATCTCAGTATCCTTATTCAAGCAGAAATCTCAAGCAGGAAAAAGCTGCAATGCCTGGACGACTGAGGAGATGGTATTGCTGAATTAAGTGAGAAGAGGTCCTGCCCTGAGCTGTGGTATCTTACCTACTTGTCCGCAGCTCAGCTTCTGGCACAGGATTCAGGTTTGGGGAAGTTTAATATATAGGGAAAGCTGCCTTCTGTTTGGTTGTTATCTGACACTGTGACCTGAAGTATTGGGCTGTGGTTTTGTGAGACTTAACAGCATTTTTTTCTTATGTAAACAGAATCTGTTGCACTGTAGACATTGGCATGGTGGCAAGAATGTTCTCAGGACTGGAATTTCCCGAATTTCCAAAGGGAAAAAAGCCCACCTGTTTTTTCTCTGGGCATCTCTCCACCTATATCTTATATTAACACCCTATTCCTGGAGGGGCCTGTGGTGAGGGCCAAGCTAAAGACCCAGCATCCAGCTGTTTTGCAGGTGTTTGCCTCAGTCGCATCCTGGGCTGTGTCTCTGCTGCTCAAGAAAAAAGGTCCAGGACTGATTCTGGGCTGTTGGCTATGTGGCACAGAGTGGCAAGCAGCCCTACCACCTGGACTAGCACTCTCCTTAGAGACTGGCCATGAGCATACTGGTGGCTCACCTCCCCCTG